CGTCCCGACGCTTGCGGCGGGCGCAGACTCCTGAAGGGCGTCACACGCGGACTCCGGCGCCTGGGCAACCTCCATTCATCTTCCCACCGCGTCTCCGGCGCCCTCGCCTTCTCCGGTCCCTTCCTCAGAGTCGGTTTTTCCCGTCTCTCCTCTGCCGCCCTTTCCTCGCGCCTTGGGCGTCGGCCATGAGCTGGAACCCCCTTCGGTGAATCTCCGTGGAGGAAGTCGGCGGCGAGCCGCCGCGCCCCCGGCATGGGGGTGAACGCCGTGCACTGGTTCCGAAAGGGGCTCCGGCTCCACGACAACCCCGCCCTGAAGGAGTGCATTCAGGGCGCCGACACCATCCGCTGCGTCTACATCCTCGACCCCTGGTTCGCCGGCTCCTCCAACGTGGGCATCAACAGGTGGCGGTGAGTCCGAAGCCCGCGGGGAAGTCGGCGTCGGTGTTTAACGAGTCAGGTGTTAATGAGGGTTAAGCGATCCGCCAGCTCGGAGGATTTAGGTCTAGGGTGCCCTGCTTGTATGTCTAAGTCTTGTAGGTGCTTTAAGTAGTACGTGGAATCCACTTAATAGCCCTCTGGCCAGAGAGTACTTGGGATGCCTCGGCCTTCCTCGGAAGTTAACGTGTCCCCTTGCGCGGATGGGACCTCTTCCCCTGCGTTTACGGAGAATTCGTAGTCGTGGAGTTAAAGAAACACCTTCCCAGTCTTCAGTGGCCCGTTGATTGATGATTGATTCCCTTGACCTCCTTCTGGCATTTGAAAGGATCGTGTGTGTCGGGGTAACTCGTAGTATGGAGACAAATCATTCATTCAGTACAGTCGCCTACAAATCCAGATTTCTTCCACCTTGAGGTTAGTGCAGGAAGAGCAAGGGGAAACATCTTTATCTGGTTTCTCTTTGCTCAGCTCTTCTCGCAACTCCTCCTTGTGGTTAACTAGACAAAGCACAGTTTTTCTTTTCAGGCAAAGTACTGTAATCCTTCTAGGGATTAGAGGACTGGAAGAAATCTTAGAGGCCTTTATGATCTTTTCCTGAAATGCCAGCCTACAGGATTGTCAGGCTCCCTGGTGGAAATGAAGGCATTAGTTTAGCAGATTATTGATCACTTAACTGCGGTATATGCCAAGCACTGATTTAAATGTCAATGGAATAGCATTGAACAAAACAAAAAGTCTTTTTCTCTTCAAGCTTATTTCCCAGGAAGTAAAATATATACAATTTTAGGTGGTGATAAGTGCTGTGGAGAAAAATAGGGAGAGAGAAGGGATAAAGACTACAAAAGTAGGGGTGTGGTTACAATTTAAAATGTGATGATCAGGTGGAAAGTCAGAGAAGGTGGCAGTTGAACAGACCTGGAAGAGCCAGTGGGATGCTGATGTCTGGGGGAAGAGTACTTCAGGCAAAAGGGACAGTGTAGGAAAAGGCCTTAAGGTGAAAATGTGTGACCTTTGGAAGGAAGCAGAGGAAGCCACAGTGATTGGGACAGAATATGCAAGAAAGGTTTGACATTCATGCGTAGTGAGGGAAGAGTAGTAGATGATGAGGTCAGAGTTGTCATAGAGCCAGACTGAATAAAGCTTCATAAACAATTACCAAGATTTGGGCTTTTACTTATGGTGGAAATAGTTGTAGGATTATGAGCAGAGAAGTGCCATGATCTGCCTTAAGTTCAAAAGTTTTTCTGCTTGGGACCAGCAGTTAGTGTAATGGCTATGGCGCTGGACTCCCACGTAGTCAACCGTGGTTCACGTCCCGGACCCGGTGGCTTAAAACTCACGCCATGCCTGTGTGCGTGTGTGACCAAGATCCCGAGAGGAGAATGGAGGAGAAGGGATTGTGGCATGGCCATCCCCCCTGGGGGGTGATTTCTCACTTTCTGTCTCTCTGTCTCTCTCTGTCTGGCGAGTGCACGCGCCCTATAGCAAAAACCTCTCCAAAAAAAAAAAGTTTTTCTGCTTGTGGTTCTGAGAAGATGGTGACTTGAGGAGAGGGGCTAGACAAGAAGCATGATCAGTTAGGAGGCTATTGCAGGCTTCCAGGTGAGAAATGATATCAATTTGGACCATAGTAATAATGGTGAAAATGGCGAGTAGTAGAATATTCAGGGTTGGTTGATAAATTGGTGTAGTGTAAGAGTTAAAAAAGGTGTTTAAATGATGACTTAAATTTTTTGGCTTGAGAAATTAGAAGGATGGGGCTGTACTTGCCTAAGAAAATAGAGCCAGCATGTGGCATGGTGGTTAAGCACTGGATTCCACATGGCGGACTCCACAGTTCGAGTGCCAGACATGGCAACTTGAAAGACACACCAAGCATGCTCAAAATCCTGAAGAGAGTAGAGAAGGGGTTGCAGTGTGACCATCCCTCGGGGGGGAAGAGTTTTCACTTCATTCTCTCTCCTCTCTCTCTAGCGAGCATACCTGTCCTATGGCAAGAGTCTAAAAAAAGAAAGAAAAGAAAGTGAACTCAGAGAAGTTGGGAGGGTAATTGGAGTTCTCTTTTGAACTTTAAGTTTTAGATTTTTTAAAAATCTATCAGTGGAGAGAGCAGATAGGCAATTGAATATATCTGGAGTTTAGGACTGAGATCAAGGCAGGAAATACAAATTAGAGACTCAGTGGTTTATAGATAATGTGTAAAGCCATTTATTCATCCATCCATTCATTTATTTAAAAAAAATTGTCAATATTGTCACCCACTATATTCCAGGCACTGTTTTAGATATGAGTGATTCAGCTTAAACAAAATAACCAAAAACCTACCCTGTTGAAGTTACATCCTATTGAAGTGATTAGACTAGAGTGTATGAGAACATTAAGAAAGTAAGTATAGATAGAAAATAGAGGTGGTTAAACGACTGAGCCTTGTTTTTTCTCTCTCTTTTTCTTTTTTCTTTTTTTTTCTTTTTTTTTTTTTTTAGGTTTTTGTCATAGGGTGCATGTGCTTGTCAGAGAAGATCGTAAGAGGGAAAGTAAGAAATCATCCTCCAGGGGTGATGGCCATGCCACAATCTCTTCTAGGATTTTGGGCACTCACGCACATGTGCCCAGCCTGATTTTCAAGCCATCAGGTCTAAAACTGGAACCTCATTTGACCATATGGGAGTCCAGCACCTTAACCACCACGCCACCTGCTGGTGCCTTGGATACTCTATTTTTATTTTTTGAGAGAAATTTTTGCTATAGGGCACATGGTACTCATTAGAGAGACAGAGAGCCAAAAAGCAAGAAATTACACCACAGAGGGTGCAGCCATGCTGCAGTTCCTTCTCCATTCTTTTCTTGGATTTTGGGCATGCATGCACATGTGCCTGGCATGAGTTTCAAGCTGTTGGATCTGGGACTTGCACTATGGTAGACCATGTAGGATTTCAGCACCTTAACCACTAAGACAACTGCTGGCCCTGGGTACTCTTTTTAGATTTTTGCTATAGAGTGCACACTTTAACTAGAGAGACAGAAAGCGAGAAATCACACACACACCTGTCCCCTGGGGGACGGCCACACTGCAGTCCCTTCTCCTCCATTCTCCTCTTGGAGTATACATACTCACATGCTTGACATGTGTTTCTAGCCATCAGGTACAGGACTCAAGCTGTACAGGACTCAGAACTCCCACATGGTCAACAATGTGGGAGTCCAGTGCCTTAACCACTATATCACCTGCTGGCCCTGGCCCCAGGTATTCTTTTTTTTTTTTTTTTGAAGAGGTGTTTGGTATAGAGAGGATTTTGGTATAGGGTGCATGTGTTCACCGGAAAGACAGAGAGAGACAGACAGAAAGCAAGAAATCACCCCCCAGGGAGGATGGCCATACCACAATCCTTTCTCCTCATTCCCCTCTTGGGATCTTGGGCATATACAAACATGCACCTGGCATGAGTTTAAGCCACCGGGTCTGGGACTCGAACTGTGATAGACTACATGGGAGTCCAGTGACATAGCCGTTATGCTAACTGCTGGTCCTGGCCCAAGGTATTCTTAATGCTTAGGTATTGTGGTTCTGTGATGTTCTGGGTGGTGGACTCGAACCGTGGTCGACCACATGGGAGTCCAGCGACATAGCCATTACGCTAACTGCTGGTCCTTTTCTAGAGTGTTTTTAAGTGTCAGTGGCAAAAATCTTTTGCCACTTTTAACCATTCAAGATTCATAGCACCAAATGCAGTGCTTTTCACATATTAGTTGCTCAGTTACTGTTACTAAATCAAGTGGTATTCTGGAGAGAATACTTTTATATTTAAACTTTATTCATTTCCTTATTGGCTGTAAGATAGCATCCAACTTCCTTAGCCTGGCCATTCAAAACTACCCTTTGGCCTATGTATCTCATCTGTTGTTTACAATATATGATCTCAACCTGGGAGGGGGTGGGAAACAACTTAGTCTTTTGTAGATGCTATCTTGTATTTTCTTCCACTGGTGTTGTTAAACTTTTGGAATTAACAGAAAAGCAAGTTAAAATTATTTTATCAGGTAAGTTCATTATCAAAACTACCTTTCAATATTATCATCATTTCATTTAAGAAGGATGTTTTGGGACCAGCAGTTAGTGTAATGGCTATGTCGCTGGATTCACACGTAATCAACCGCAGTTCGCGTCCCGGACCCGGTGGCTTAAAACTCACACCAGGCGCGTGTGCGTGCATGCCCAAGATCCCGAGAGGAGAATGGAGGAGAAGGGATTGTGGTGTGGCCATCCCCCCTGGGGGGTGATTTCTCGCTTTCTGTCTCTCTGTCTGTCTGGCGAGCGCACGCGCCCTATAGCAAAAACTTCTCCAAAGAAAGAAAAAAAAAAAAAACGGATGTTTTAACATTGAAGGACACTGTCTCAGTGTAAAGTACAGTTCTTTGACTTGAAATTTAGCTTTATGAAGATTCATATCTCTTAATAAAATTATACCGCATAAAACCTTACAATGTTTACAGAGCCTTATTAGTAATAATCAAAAGTGGAAACAACTCTGATGCCCATTAACTGATAAACAGATAAACAAAATGTGGTATATCCATATAGTGGAATATTATTTTGCTATGAAAAAGGAATGAAGTACTCATACATGATTTAACACGTACAAATGAACCTTGGGAGACATGCTACATGAAAGAAATCAGTCACAAAGTTCCACGTAGAATTATATGATTATGTTTATAAGAAATGTCCATGGCCAGTCCTATGGACTAGTGATTAAGGGCGTCAGATCCCACAGGGCCAACTGCACATTCATATCCTGTCCCTGGTGGTTGTAAACCACACTGAGCATATGTGCGTGCATGCCCCAAATCTTGGCAGGATGGAGAAATGGAGAAGGGATTACAGTATGACTATACCCCATTGGCGGGGTGGGATGGGGGGGAGGGTGCTTTCTCCCTCTCGCTCATTCTGTCTGTGATAAGTGTGTACCCTT